TTAAAAAAAAAATTTCATGTATGGCCTAAAGAGCTGAGAACCAAATTTTGAATTTTAGCATGACTGCACCTTCCACTTCCAGAAGGCAACTGCCTCCGTGCTGCATGTGCATGTGCGGGATGGTCCTCCAGCAGCGTCTCCACTCTCTATAATTGATAATATTAATAATAATTACAGCAATAACAGTGGAGAACTTAATGCAACAAAATGGTCTATTAAGAAACTGAACTGATTTTGTTTTAACGTGATTCTATTATTTGCTACTGTAGACAAATCAGGAAGGAATAAAAAGTAACATTCCCCTTCCCCTCTGGAATTTACCAAGACATTGTGCTTGGAGGAGTTAGAGGCCAAGACATTTGTGGGAAAGCTACAGTTGGGCTCTTAATTTTGTTGGGGATTGAAAGAGGGAAAGCAAGGGCTGGCCAGATAGCTCAGCGGACTAAAGCGCCTGCTTAGGCAAACTCGGGAACTGGGGTTCAATCCTCTGGCTGCCGTGCCAGCCTCGCACACTGAGACAGTGACTGAGACTGGGTGTGATGGCGCGTGCCTATAATCCCAGTGCTTGGGAGGCTGAAAGCAAGAGGATCAATGTGCAGTGAGACTGTAGACTTTGTACTAAATGCATTTTTTTTAAAAAAAGGAAAGCAGGTAGAATCCTAGAGATTTGGAAAAGCAAGGGTTTATTTTGCCTTGGAGATAGGAAACTGAGCAGGCTCATAGCCACTCTTCTAAAATGTCAGGATCTCGAAAGGCCTGGCTTCTGGGAGGCTGGTATGGTCTGAGCACCAAGGCTCAGGCACCTGCAGGGGATCCCTGAATTTCTGGATGAAGTGAAGTTATTGCAGAGCTGCCCTCAGTGGAAGGACTCCTGCCCCCCAACATCCCTCTTCTCCTGATGCCTCCCAGCAACTGCCCCTCCTCTGTGAAGCCGGACCTGCTGGGCCTAGGAGGCATCAACTGGGACACTGGCACCCAACAGTGACATCACGTGGTCATAAGCAGCAAGTGCAATGGACTCGAAGAGGCTGAGAGGTGCAGATGGTGTGAGTCTCTGGGTACAACAGAAAGATCTAGGGAGAGGGACGATGTCATCACACAACTGATGATGGGTTGCCCACGAGGGGTGACAGGTGGGCGCTGCGCCCCCTTCACTATATCCATGGAAATAACAACTGGGCCACTGCTTGAGCTCCAGGGCCGTGGAGTAACTCATACCTGTAGTTCTCCCATTATCAATCATTAACACGGTCACCTAAAGTACACACCTCCCCAGTCATCATCCAAGCCCTTGATCTGTTTTCTTTACCCAAAAGCCTATCATTAAAAGACTTTTCTACTTCTTATGATTACTTAGTTTTACCTGGTGTGCATTTGCTACCTATCTCCTCCAGTAGAATTTAAGTGCATGAAGGCAGGGATCTTGTCTTCTCTATTTGCCGCTATATCTTTAGTGGCTACCTGGACTGTTTCTTATCTGACCTCTGATGTGTTACTAGTTCTTGACAAAGCCCATGTGCACACCTTGCCTAGCGTAGCAGGCAAGCCCCTTCCTCTTGTCTCTCATCTAGGAATCCTGTGTGGCTGCTGGCTGAGACGGGCTCCTATCCCTCCTAACCATCAAGTTCTCAATAAATTGCATTGTTTAAAAAAATGAAACACACTCACTAAGGGTTCAGTAAACTTAATGAATGAATGGGTAAATGAATCTTACATCTGAAGCTTAGAGAACAGAAACCATGTTCCAGACACTTGCTACGCACTTCACTTCTGTCACTTAATCTTTAAAACAGCCTAAAAGAGACTGATTCTAAAAGGTAAAGCCATCCCATTTATAGAGAAAAAAACTGAGGACCCAAACTACTAACTTCTTAGCTCTATTTTCCCTTACCATCCCTGTTTTCTGTGTCACTATTTAGCTTTTTCCAAGAACAATTTCTTAAGCATCCCTTGCTATATGGGCTAGGTCATCCCCCGTCCCTTCTTTGCTTTCAAGAACAACCTACATACATATAACTATCACCGTACTTAGCCTCACTCACATCCACCATAGTCTGTACCTCCCTCTAAACTCTGAGCTCCTTGAAGGCAATGATTAGCTCATCTTCGTGTTCACAAGGCCTAGCACAGGGCCTAGGAAAGAGGTAGTAAAGAAATTGATGGGGTCAGGGAGATGGCTCAGTAGAATAAGCACTTGCCTGGTAAAGAAATTGACATGAGAGCCACTGAAGGGTGGATCACCAGGTCCCCATCTGGAGGCATCTGCCTTGCATCTCATTCTTCATGATGCTCTTTCTTTCCTGTCACAGACCATCCCAACCCATTCATGAGTTCCACTGTGCAAAAGGCACGGTACTTGGTGTGGGAACTATGGAAATCAATAAAACAACCTCTGCATGGGCTGGGGAAATAGCTTAACAGCAGCAGATTCAATACCTGCCTGGAAACACAAGGTCCTGAGTTCGATCCCTTATACAAAACAAAACCTCTACTGCCAAGGATCTACAGTCTAAGAGTGGCGAAGTACCGGAAGCCACGATGAGTGCCATCAGCACTTAGGAGTGTACAAGTGTGACTCTGAGCAAGGGAGGGAAAGCCTGAAAGAGGCCTTGCTGGGCTTTGCAGGACAGCAGAGATGAGACTGGCAATGTGTAAGTCAGTGACCTCAACAGTGTTTTAGAAAGGAATTTTTATAATTTGGGGGGATAGATACAATATTTACATATACAAAGGTATTTGGGGGTGGGGCTCATATCTAAACATAAAACTCGTTTATGTTTTACATACCCCTTGAGGGAACAGGGTGAAGGGAATTGTAGACAATATTTTTAGCACACCTGTGTTGTCACTGTGACCCATCACATGAGATCAAGGGTAGATTTGCTATATGTGGTGTCACATTAGCATTCCAAATGTTTTAGAGAATTCTGGAGTTCTGAGTTTTTACTTTACGGGCCCTCAACCTCTAATAGCATGAAAAGGAGCAAATGATAAGGGATTTGAAGGCAACTTTCAAGAGCTTGAGCTCTGAAGGTGGTGGCAAGACAGAGGGGCCTCACTTAGGAGAGATGTGATCAGAGGGGCAGTTGAAAGACTGGGAAGAACAGAGATAAGGCCTGCAACAGGGCAGTGGAGAGACTTGGAGGTGCAACCAGTAATGTGATTGTTTCTAGGAGGGAGGGGTGAAAGAGTATCCTTGAGCCAACACTGCCTGGTTTGTGGGGATGATGGTGAGGTTCACTGGTAAAGAAAGCAGAAGGAGAAAATTTGAAACATATCTAGTAGAGCCTGACCCCTAGTAGGTACTTGATAAATAGCTGTTAATTTGAAATGAAACCGGTAGAAGAAAGATTGCTACTTTATGGGTACTTTTCAACTGGAGCTCAAGACAGTGGTCCAGGTAGGGCTTCGTGGCAGATGCCTGTAATCCTGGCACTCCAGAAGACTTCAGCAAGATCATAAATTTAAGCCCATTACATATAAATGTACATCTGGAATTAAATTATTTCTATTACTATTATCTACCTTTGAATGGGGCATTATAGACTGCATTAATTTTCTTCAGTCCTTTTTTTTTTGAGTATGTACCATCTGCATATTGGAGAAAACAATATGAATAAGAATTAACAATAAAGAAAATGTTTTCTAAAAAAAAAGGATAGATATACAGCTCCACTCTCTTAATTCAATGAATAGAGAGGTTTGTTATAATAGTGTTTGAGACAGGATATCATGTCTGCATCTTGTACAATGAATAACCACTAAGACAACAATATGCAATGTATTAATTACTAAAAATGTGCCAGTAATTGGTTGTGAAACTGTCTCATTGATATTTGTTTCTCAATAAAATTTAGAAAAAAAAAAATTAACAACAAAAAGGTGTACAGCATAGACCTTTAAAAAACAAAATTCTCAGGCCAACCAAATAGCTCAGTGGATTAAAGCGCCTGCAAGCAGGCACAGGGGCCAGGGGTTCAATCCCGGGGCCTGCCCTGTGGGACCCAACCCCCGCCCCCCAGGGTGCGCTGAGACAGCAATTGAGACTGGGCAGGTGTGGTGGTGTGGTGGTGTGCGCATGTAGTCCCAGCTCTTGGGAGGCTGGAAACAGGCATCTCACTACGACTCCAATATAGTAGTGAGACCCTGAACACTCTGTAAACCTTTCCCTAAAATAAAAAAAAAAAAAAAGCTCAATCTCAGCATTGCCAGTTTAGCAATTTATGAACACCCTTTTGAACACCCTTTTAAAAAATTTAAAATAAACCAGAAACAAAGAAAAAAAAATATTGATGCAGGCACAATAACAGAAATCTGTAATCCCAGCGCTAGAAAGGCTGAGGCAGGAGGGTCACCACGAGTTCAAGGCCAGCCTGAACTACATAGCAAGGAACTGTCTCAAAAAACAAAAGCCATAAATAAATAGACAAGAAAGAGCCCCTGATGTACCTTAGTGTAAAGGCCCTGGGTTAAATTCCTAATAGCAGGGCGAAGGGAGGCCTTGATCTGGGTTGTGGATTGTGTGTGGCTTGGAAGAGAAGCCTGGAGTGACCTAAAAAGTATCTATTTTTTTGTTTTAAGGATTTTTTTTTGGAGGGGGGCTGGCTCCGAATGCCTTCAGGGCATGTTTGGCTGGCTGCAGTTGTAGGGATTGAACCACTGCAACCTGAGGCTGACTGCTTTGTTGAAGCAGTCACTTAAACAACTGAGCTAAGGGGCAGGCCCCAAAAGTATGTTAAAGAATATTAGAAGATACAGCCAAGTACTCAGAGGCTGAGACAGGAGGGTCACCGCGAGTTCAGACCAGCCTGGCCTACAAAGTGAATTGAAGGCCAGCCGGAACTGTATAGCGAGACCATGGAATTAAATTATTTCTAATACTATTATTAATAATTATCATAACTTAAAAACAAGTTGGGAAGACCAAACGTTTTAGAAGTAGTACAGGAAGAAACTAAGACCCTGTCTCAAAAAAAGGTGGGGGATCCTGCAAGGCTTAATTTTTCAGAAGTGGTACAGGAAGAAGAAACTAAGAGAAAAACTACCAGTTGATATTTATTGACCACTTACAGCAAAGCACTGTACTGGGTGCTTTAAAAAAAAAAAAAAAAAAGTGAAAGAAAGCAAAAATGTGACTAGTGTCCCTATAAGGCAAGTGTATCAGAAGCAGAATATTCATTCCCATGTGCCAGTGAAGCAGAGCCTGAGATTCTGGGCCAGAAGGGGAGAGACGCTCTACTGTCATCCTTGCCCTCACCCTCACACATGGAGTCTGTGTTAGATGAAATTACTTTTATTGGCGGTAAGCTCAGTGAGAGCTGCGGATCCTCACGCTGAAAAAGCCAGGCGTGAGAGCTCCTTATTTGGGCGAAAGTGTTGCCTTCTGAAAACGATTTATTTTAGGGCAAGGCCTAGGCACCTGGGCGCAGGCAGCGCTGATCAGGCTGCGCTCTCGGCGCTCTCGGTTTGGGGTGGAGCAGCTTGGGCAACCTCAGGCGCCCCGGGCTCTTCCTCGGCGTCGGGAGGAGGATCCGGCTGGGCGTCCGGCGGCCCCGCTCGGCTGCGGCCAGGCCCGACGCGAGGCGGCTTGACGGGCGTGGGCGGGGGCGCTGCGGGGCCCTTCCGGCCCGAAAGGGCCCTTCGCAGGTTGTGCACCTTCTCCAAACCCGTGCGCCGCAGCCGCCGGGCCCGGGACTCCACGGGCTCCTCGTCTGAGCTCTCTCCGACCTCAGCCTGCGGCTGCTCCGGGCCCAGCTCGGACAGGTCCGCCGGGCCCAAGGATTCAGGCGCCTTCTGGAAGGCGCCAGCTGGAATCTCAGCCTCCTCCTGCAAGTGAGGACACGGCGGTGACCCTGGGAGCCCCTTACCCCGGGCTCGCCAGAGACTCCCTCCCCAGGGCCACCGGGGAAGCCGCCCCACCCACCCTCTAGGCAGAGATGGGGGTGGTGAGGGCTTCGAGAGACCTGCAGAAGTGTGTAAAGTAGGTGAGATCCGGCTAGGGCGCGGGACACCGACAGTGACCGCGGGGCAAGAACTGCAGGAAGCAGAGAGCTGTCGCGGAATGCGCTTCCACCCCCGCCGCTTCCCTCGGGGACGGGCTGGGACTTGGACCGAGTTCCGCGGCCCCGCCTTAGCTAGGCTGAGCGTTCGCTAGGCTGGGCTCCCGCGCGCGGCAAGGAGTGGCAGCGGCCGTCGTGGCTTGCGCCAAATTTATAGTGACCCGTGGGGTCGAAGATGTGGACGTGGGAGGCGCGCGGGAGGGCGCGGCCCCTAAGCGGTGGGCTCCAGACCCGCAAAGGCCACAGCTCGGGAGTTGGGGGCGCCTGAGGTCACTGACCTTGAAGAGCAGGACGTGCAGCTTCCCGCGCGCCACCAACAGCCCGTGGTTGGCCTCGAGCCGCTGCATCTGGGCGGCGCGGCGGGCGGCGCGCTCCTGGGCGGCGTCCGCGTGCGAGCCCACGCGCTCCGCCTTGGCCAGCAGCTGCTCCAGCGCGTGGCTGGTGGAGTCGTGGCTGCGGCTTAGCGCACCCAGGCCGCTCTGGATGCGGAGCACGGAGCCGGCCAGGCCGCCCTGCCTCCGAGCCAGGCCGCCCTGCCGCTCGCGCAGCGCATCCAGCATGGTGGCCAGCTTCTCCAGCAGGGTGACCACTGTCACGGCGTGCACCGGGCCCCGGGCAGGCGCCCCGGGCGCAGGCCCCGGCTCCAGCGCGCCCTCCCCCATGGCCCGACAGCCCTGCCTGCGCTCCCTACGGCCGCCGGCTGTTCTCTGAGCTGGGGCCGCCTTTCCCGGCTCCTCCCCAGCTCCCGCCGTGACTCAGGCGGGAGGAGCTGGCCTCTGCCTCTGCGGCGGGAGGGAGGGGAGAGAGGTAGGGGCGGGATGTCGCCGGCCAGGGGGTCCTCTGGAGCCGCCCCAGCTGCCCAGCCTGCGCGCCCGGAAAGTTAACCCAGCCAACACGCCGCCCCCAGCAAACCCTCTGCCTAGAGTTTGAGCTTCCCCACACGCAGCTCCCTGCTGTGCCTCTTTCTGGAATGTGCGCTCCCCACAACGAAAGGCAAGTCACGGAAAGTTTTATTTCACGGAGTGGGCAGACAAACTACTTGGCTTAACCCAACCAAGGGACAACCGGGGAATCCGCCGCCACGCCCCCTTGGCCTCCCACACGCCTGGAGCGCGTAGGTGGGCGGATTCTGGACTGGGCCTGGTGGGCCCGGAGGCCCTGGAATGTTCTGCCTCAGATCTAGGGCTGCCTAGGCCCCAGGCCTCCTCTCTTTGTGACTGACTACACAGTCTGTGGTATTTTCCTGAGCGCCATCACCAGGGCTTGGCCACAGACTTTGTGTCTTCCTATGGGGTAGCACTGTCTTGTTTTCTTTGCATTTCGTGGATGTAACTGAGCCTGACCAAGCTCCTGCATCTCACTCAAGCCTGAAGGACAGTCAGGACACCTCTGCCTTTGTAACCGTCACAAATGTTCTCTCAGGTATGATAGCGCTTTGCTTCCATTGTGGTTGGTTGTGGCTTCCACCAAAGGGTGTTGACCCCCCCCCCCACACACACACACACACACTGCATCCCAACCTTCTCTAAAAATAGGTAAAAATATCTCTAAGAGTGAAGGGAAAGGAGCCGAGCCAGTTGATATGAATTGTGAAACTTGTAGTGCTAGTATAGAAAACATCTCTGGACTTGTTTTTAGTAAGGGTCCATGGGCTGGGGAGGTAGCTCTGCAGCACAGCACCTTCTTGGCGATCACAAGGTCCTGAGTTCAATTCCCAGTAGCAAAAGAAGAAACAAAGACTCTACAGCAGATCATAATCTGTAGTCCAAGCACTCTGTGGATCTTGGTGAGGTTTGTTCCTTTTCCTTCCTTCACCAAGCCTGTGTAGGTCAATTGAAAACAGCTGTGGGAGATAGTGACATGGACCTGAGAGGCCTGACTACACATAAGTACAGAAAGGCATTGGTAACTATTTCGAAAAAATTTATGGTGGGGTATGGTGACCTATCATCCCATTACTTGGAAGGCTGAGGCAGGAGGAGCACTGTGACTTTGAGACCAGCTTGGGCTACAAAGTGAGCTCAAGGCCAGCCTGAACTGTATAGCAAGACCTTGTCTCAAAAAGACAAAAAATCTTATGATGCTAAGTTGGTCCTCAACTTCTACAAATGCACAGTCATGGAGCCTGGTTCTGACACTAACACAAGAGAAAATAGGGAATCTTGGTGGGATTCTAGCAGGAATCCCTGTCTCAGTGCAACTCCACTTGCCCGAAGAGAAATGCACAAAGGCGGTGGCACTTAGCCTAACAAAGCCCAGTGTGGTGGCACACCTATAGCAGCATACAGAAGGCTGAGGTGGAGGATTTCTGTGACTTTGAAGCCAGCCCTGGCAACGTAGTGAGAAAATTACAAGTCAGTTACAACTCCAAACCCAGTTCCCTTGATTCCCTCACCTGGGTACACCCCACCACCCTGGCACATGCACACAGACATCATTTCATTATCAGGCTGGGAGTAAGAGAGCTGCAGCAGTTCCAGGCCTCACACCTCTGCAAACAACCTAGAAAGGCAAGGCCATTTTAAAATCCTAAAACATTTGTTTCCCAGAAGCACCCTGTGTTAGTCTGCTGTCATGTTGCTGAGCACAATGCCCAACAGCTACAATTTAAAGGAAGAGATGTTCAACATGGCTCATGACTCAGGGGACTCAGTCCAGAGTCTGGTGGCTCTAGAGCAGAAACATGGAGAAAGGACCTGGCGGAAGAAAGCTGCTCCCTTCATGGCAACCAGGAAGCAGAGAGGCAAGGGAAGGGCCAGGGAGGACATGAACCTTCTGGAGGCCAGCTTCCAGGAATCACCTCTGCCAACCAGGCCCCGCCTCCTAACAGGATGTGTAATTAGGGCCTTACTGATGAGTCCATCCATTCAGTGAAGCCATCCACTCATGATTATAGTACTCTCATGATCTTAAAAGCCCCACCTCAGGCCGGGGAGATAGCTGAGCAGCATAAGTTCCTGCCCAGCAAACACAAGGTCCTGGGTTCAATCTCAGATACCAAAAAAATAAAAATAAAAGCCTTTATCTCAAGGGTGGAAAGATCAAGATTTCTTGAATTGTATTTCGATGCAACATGAGTATAAAGATCACCTTGTATTCTCTTTAGTTTGTAAAAGTATATTAGAAGAGGAAGAAATTTAGGTACAGAAAATGTTTTTAATCACCTACATGACCGTGCTTGATGAGTCTTGGTTCTAAAGGTACCAAAGTTCTTCTTAAACTGCTGCGTACTTGAACAAGGAAAATCTATTTTTGCCTTCCAGTCTACATTTATGACCTCAGTCAGGTAAATACACCTGGCTTGCTTCTGTAACACTTTGATGCAGACAGTCTGTCATGCACTGTGGTTTCAGGTGTGCAATAATTTCTACAATGGGTTATGCCCAAGCATGGGTTAAACAGGACAAATGTGGTTTTTTCTGTGTAGTTCCTTGCCTTAATAAATATGATATAAATTTAAGCAAACTTCTATTTTATATATTTGTAAACTACAAAGTAAAGAAATAAGCATTTTGTGGAGTTTGTGTTTTGTATACTCGAGGTGAGAAATAAGTTTTAAATAAACCTACAATATTTTATCTGAAAAAAGGCTCCCTTTAAGAAGGGAAAAGTTAAAAAAAAATGAAGAAAACAAAGCTTTATAAGTGGGGGGGGAAGGATTGAAGGGAGAGGAAGAGAATAGGAGAAAAAAAACAAGTTATATCATGTGCAGGTACAAATTCTCTACGATGAATGTGATTGTTATGTATGTCTAAAATGTACCACTAGGCCCAGGCAGATAGCTCAGCAGACTAAAGCTCCTGCTTAGGCAGAAGGAGGGTCGCGGGGTCCATCCTGGGCATGCCATGCCAGCCCCACCCCCAGGGCGTGCTGACACCGAGATTGAGACTGGATGTGGTGGTATGTGCCTGTAATCCCAGTGCTTGGGAGGCTGAAAACAGGATCCCTATGAGTCCAGTCTACGTAGTGAGACCCTGTAGAGCCTGCACTAAATACAAAAAAAAAAAAAAGGACTTTAAAAGAAGAAATAGATTTTAGCTCACAGCTTCATGGGTTTTAATCTACAGTTGTCTGGCCCCATTGTACTGTAGCAGGCAGCACAGCATGATGGGAGAACATTGCAAAGCAAACAGCTCACCTGACAGCCAAAGGCAGAGAAGAGGGCCGGGGAGATGGCTCAGTAGAATAAGTGCTTGCCTGGCAAGCACAAGGGCCTGAGTTCAATCCCCGGTTCCCGCCCCCCAAAAAAAGACAAAGGCAGAGAAGGTCAGGGTCCCAAGATCCCCTTCAAAGGCAAACCTCCAATGACTTAACTCCCTACCCCTAGGCCCCCCATCTCCCTGCAGCACCACAGACCAAGCCTTTAGCACAAGAGACATTTAAGATCTGAACAATTACAGTAGTCAGTCAAGGATCGTTACAACAAGCCTCATCAGCCTTGGGGAGTGGAGGGGAGGGAACCTAATGCATCCGGAAGCAGAAACTACTTGAATAAAGATTTTTTAGAGACCTGCTCAATTCTTCTCTAGATATGTGGAATAAACTTAGTGCAATCAGTGATGATGCTATAAATCTCAAGTCCTCAGTATTCCTAGAAATTGGCTAATATTGGAAAATGGAAACTCACAAGGTCCATAAGGATAACACAGGACAGCCCAGGAGAATGTTCTTGGTCAATAAAACCCTACCAGAGCACTGCAACAGAGACCTAGAATGTGGGGCCTCTAGGGAGGAGCCGTATTCTACCTTCTAATACAGGTGAGAAAACAAGGTTGCAAAATGATGCCTTCTACTAAAAGATAAACTCAAACACACTAAAAATTTTAAAGTTTATCAGAGCAAAGAACAATTGAGTCAGGTAGCACTCAGCCAAAAAGGGTTCGGAGAGCCCTACTGGGGCAGCATGGGCAGCGAGCGCATGCAGGTTGAATGAATGCGGAAGGAAGCATTTGATTTGTCAGTAGAAAGGTACTGGTTAGAGGTTAATTGGTGACTTCGGTTTGGTTTGGTTTGGTTTGGTTTGGTTTGATTTGGTTTGGTGTTTGAGACAGGGTCTAACTGTGCAGTTCAGGCTGGCCTTGAACGCACTGTATAGCCAAGGCTGGCTCTAAACTTGCAGTGGTCCTCCTGCTTCAGCCTCCCAAGTGCTGGGATTGCAGGTATGCATCACCACACCCAGCTACCAGTTGGTGCTTTCTAATTGATAAAATACCTATTTTTGTTTTACTCTTTAAATTGGGATTTGATCTGCTTATGTGAGAACCCAAAGCTCTCGTGCCACCTGAGACTAAGGGCCTCTCAATAAAAAGGTTTGGAAACCTAGAAAGCATTGTAACATAAGCTCAGTTTAAAGATTTCGATTGTATAAATTCTGCCAGGCAGCTGCTGAGTCAAAAGGCTCAGCAGAAAAATTGGAGCCCTGTTGTTATGAGTGGATTGTTTACCTGAAAAGTTGCCTTCAAGTTCTGATGCCTATTCCCAGCGAATATATGACCTTATCCAGAATGTCTTTGCAAATATGATCAGGTTAAGATGAGGTTGTATTGGGCCAGGGAGAGAGCTCAGTTGAATAAGCGCTTGCTTGGC